GTTTTCGCTCTGACAAATGCCATGAAAATTTACACATGCGTATCTTACATAATAGAGAATATACAAATGAAGTTTGAAATAATAATATTTTTTTTCATGCCCCAAAATAAAGAAAAAACAAAAAGTGAAAAGAACAAAAAAACAAATGAGTGAGTGGGCAAGCAAGTTTTGACACCACCGTCTTTGCCGTTTTTTTTCTGGCTGAACAGAATGGCTTCAAAATTAAGAGGGAGATACCTTACATCACAAAGAACTCACAGAAAAAAATTCAGGAAAAGATAATAATATTTAGGTGCCAAACTAATTTTTTGCAAGGTCCGAACCCCTTCAGGTTTGGGCTCCGTACGGGGACCCAAACGCCCGAACATTTGGGGGTCAGCTTAGGGGTCTCCGTACATTCGGCCTGGCAACCCTGCTGCCAACCAAAAATCCCCCCCCCCAAAAAAAAAAAAAAAATCAAATTTATTTTTCATTTTTTTTTTTTTTTCTATACTCTTCTCTCAACTTCTGTTTCTTTACCTTCCACTACCTACTCCTAAGACTATCTAGAGGGGACCCCTGCAAGCATAGCTTCCTCTCTCTGTGAAGGGGAGATTTCATGTTGCCCCTTGCCCCTTAGGGTATAGGGTTGGGGCCGCCAGTGGGGGTCTGGCTAACACAAAGACCGAGACCTGCCAGTAGCTGTGCCTCCCTTTCTCATCGTCCCCCACCCTTCATCGAGTAGCAGCAGAGGCTATGGCCAACACTCTCCCACACACCACACACAACCCACTCGCGCTCACATTTCTTTTCTCCACCTTTTCTGTTTTTTATTTTTATAATTCCAAAAAATTACCTGTTTCCAAAAAAAAAAAAAAGGGGGTTGCAGGGATTAAAATTCCCTACAACCCCATTTTTCTGTTTTTTTTGCCTATTCTTTAAATCAGGAAAAATCTTGGAAAATTGGGTCCGCGGCTCGGACCAGGCCGGCCGTGGACGGGGCCACATATGCGGCCGCTATCCGAGATCGGGCCTGTGGACGCGTCCTCGGGTGTTTCATAGGCGCCGACACACTCTCTCTCTCCCGCACACACCCTCTTTTTCTCTCTCTCTCTCTCACCCTCTTCTCTCTCTCTCTCTCTCTCTCTCTCTCTCTCTCTCTCTCTCTCTCTCTCTCTCTCTCTGTTGGGCTCCCACTCCCACTGACGAGTATACACGCGTACACAGAGAGATACACGCGTACACAGAGAGAGGGGGGGGGGCCTCATCCACACACCCGCTCTCTCTCCTTTGCCCTCCCAATCCCACTCACGAGCATGCGCGCGGACACAAAGAGAGAGGGGGGCTGTGAGCGGCAACGCACCCCCTCTCTCTCTCTCTCTCTCTCTCTCTCTCTCTCTCTCTCTCTCTCTCTCTCTCTCTTGCACACACCCTCTCTCTTTCTCTCTCCACCTCTCATCTTGAGAAAGAGAGAGGGAGGAGCGATTTATTTCAATCTCTTTTTTCTTTTTTTTAACCTTACGATCAATCATAATCAATTAGTCAATCAATCAATCAATCCTTCTATTGACCATTTCAATTAATAAAGAACTACTATTATTTTTTACTTTTTTTTATTTCATCCCCCCTTATGGCAAAATAAAAAAATTTCCTTTGTTATTTTTCTCTCACAGGGGGTTGGGATGGGGTTCCGTAACCCCAATCCATATCCCCAGACCCCGGGGCACTCCCTCGATGTTGCCATGTGCAGATCCCAACCGTGACCGCACACTCGCAACCATGATCAGGTAGCCCGAGCACCACCGGCCTGGTCCCCGGTTGGGAAGACACATAGCTGGTAGAATTGCTTGCCCAAGTGCTTTGCATAGACTCTTTGACCAAGTGCCTTCCGAAGATTCTCATTGGGAAAGTTCTGCCAATCTCTGCCAGTGTATGACCAAGTGTTGACACTCTTTGACCCCCCCTTCCCACGTGCTGGTGCTCTTTGACCGTCTCTTCCCCAATGCTGACAAACTTTCATCGAGTTCTTAAACCATCAATACATTTCCGAGCCATTTCGCTGAAACGCACTGTGCATGCGGGTGCATTGACCCAGATTTACCAGGGAGCCGTTTTCCCTGAAATCCATCCAGTTAAATCGGGCAGTGCATTCAACCTGTTTTGCCGAGATATTTTGGGCCAAACAGCACCCTGGTACATCCCACCAAAAGGGCCTGCATGCACAACGCTGCCTGGTACATCCTGCCAAAATGGCTAGGAAACATACTGATTGTTTAAACATCAGTACCTTTCCCTGCTTGAAAAACAAATATACCGCGGTCAACACAGGGTCGCTGCAGGGTATGCCCGGTCGTGCTTGAACGCACGGGCAAACCGACAATGAAGAAAAAAAACAAAATAATAAAAAATAATAAAAGGACGTTGAAGCAACGAAATGGCATGAGGGGATGACAGAGAGAGAGAGTGTGAGAGAGAGAGAGAGAGAGGAATCTTCCCGCTTTGTTGCAAAAGATGCATTCCCATTCTGAATGTTGCAGGCAACGAAATATGCCCAGGAGAGAGAGAGAGAGAGAGAGAGAGAGAGAGAGAGAGAGAGAGAGAGAGAGAGAGAGAGAGAGAGAGAGAGACATTTCCGATGTGCAAAACAAGAGTGAATTTTCCTATGAACGTGGGATGATTTTTCCATACCTGCGGTGCATCTCATGCCCGCAAGCTCCGCACGTGCGGAGCATAGCGCACGCGCAAGCTTGCACACGGACGTGATGCGGCGCACTCCAAAAAATAGGGTGAATTTTTTTTTTTGGAGAGGGCTGGCTAAGGTAGGCAATGGTACCCCTCCCTTCTGAAAAATCTAAGGGCACAGGAAAAAAAAACAGGGCCACATATTCCTCGTTGAGTAGTCTTTTTCCCACAGGACCCCAGCAGTGTATCTGCAAGGGTCCCAGCATCTCGAGAGATGTTCAGCAAATTTCGTGTGCGAGTGGAGCAGGCCAGCAATACATATTCTGGATCCGAAGTCAGGACTGTTTTCCAGAGGTTATGGGTTAAAAGTTACAACCATTTACTACAGTAGCTCTCTCTTTCTTTTCTTTCGTTTCCCTACGAGCAGTGGCCCTAAGGGCCTTGCTCCACTCATCACCGCTTGCACAAAAGATAAAACATATGGTGAAGTAGATTCCATATTCTAGTAGAAGATTCATTCTAGTTTTGCACATTTGGTGAGTAGTGGAGAGAAGCCCTGAAAAGCACGTGGTAAGTTGGCCTACTACTGCCCGCGTGCTCAGTGGTCCCATAACTGCTGAAACACGGACCTTAATGTGAACCAACACCATATCTACTTGGCGTGCCCTACCCTAGTGCGGGTATGAGCATTGCCTCATTCATGGTGAGGAGGCCCTTGCTAATTCTCTGCAGGGGCCTCTCGGATAACCCGCAGGGATTTCCTTATTAATGTTAAGGAGCTATTTGTTTGCTCTCTCTCTCTCTCTCTCTCTCTCTCTCTCT